ACTTATCATGGAAATAGCGAACACGGGAGTATAGAAGTATAGAGCAGACACGGCGTCCAATGTAATGACCGGTGTCCAACGCAATGACCGGGCGGTCCAACGCAATGACCCTCTGTCCAACGCAATGACCGACTCCAACCTCAATGAACCCTCTGTCCAACGCAATGACCTCTGTCCAACGCAATGACCGGCGTCCCAAGCGCAATGACCCTCTGCCAACGCAAATGACCGGCGTCCAACGCAATGACCCTCCTGTCCAACGCAATGACCGCGTCCAAACGCAAGGACCCTCTGGTCCAACAGCAATGACCCTCTGTTCCAACGCTTCTATGCTGTGTATCCTTCACTACCTTCCCTCAGGATCATCAGGTGACATCATTGAGGATTTCTTATGCAATCCTAAGTAATACAGACATGTCCCCCCCGGAGCGGCGCTCCTCCCCATACTCACTATCTGTACTCCACACCAGGTCATCCAGGGGACTGGGCTCCCGCCGTACCCACCACCCGGCCCCCGGACCCTGGAGCCCACCACAACATCGGATTTTCCACCTTCATGGCAATATCGCTCTATTTCCGCACTGACTGACTGCTTAGTATACACGTCTACCTTCTCCAAGCAACATGAGTGACGAACTACGGAGCCGGACTGGCTCACGATTCCTCGTAAAGCGCATGCCCAACAGCAGGGAGTCACGTGTTTGTAAGTGTGTTCCGTTGCATGTAAATAGTGAGGATTCTCCAGAACTGTGCCTCGTGGTACTCCACTTCCTGTCACCTCAGTGTACACGGATGGCTTAGGTAGTATTGGAATACTAGGCTTTCTATACTATTATTGCTAAAAAATCCAGCTTGAGACGTTCTTGGTACAAATCATTTTGAGGAGATCCAGGAGCAGACAATAATACTTTACTGTTTGTTCACTTGACCTCCGGAAAGGTTTGACCCTCTTCATGATCAGGGCATTGCTTGCTATTCACTGCGCTATCTCAACTGGCAATTGCTTGGTCATGCAAAACTGTACCCAAATATAATGTATAACTTTGTGTTCACACAGAGCTTTCATTTGGTGGTATTTGATCACCACTGTTTTTTTTTTTTCTTTCTATGAACGAAAAAAAAGCCAACGAATATTGAAAAAACCCACAATATTTTCGACTTTCTGTTTTAAAATGATATATATCCAATAAAATCAAATTTCTACATGATTTTAGGCCAAAACGCATTCTGCTACGTCTTTGGTAACAAAAATCCCAATAAGTGTATATTACTTGGTTTGTGTGAACACTATATTGCCAGAAGTACTGGGACCCCTGCCTTACACACACATGAACTTTAATGGCATCCCAGTCTTAGTCCGTAGGGTTCAATATTGAGTTGGCCCACCCTTTGCAGCTATAAAAGCTTCAACTCTTTCTGGGAAGGCTGTCCATAAGGTTTAGGAGTGTGTCTATGGGAATGTTTGACCATTCTTCCAGAAGCACTGATGTCTGATGAGAAGGCCTGGCTCACAGTCTGCAGTTTAATTCATCCCAAAGGTGTTCTATCATGTTGAGGTCAGGACTCTGTACAGGCCAGTCAAGTGCCTCCACCCAAAAACTCACTCATCCATGTCTTTATGGACCTTGCTTTGTGCACTGGTGCTCAGTCATGTTGGAACAGGAAGGGACCATCCCCAAACTGTTCCCACAAAGTTGGGAACATGAAATTGTTCAAAATGTCTTGGAATGCTGACGCCTTAAGAGTTCCCTTCACTGGAACAAGCCCAACCCTGGAAAAACAAACCTCACATCATAATCCCTCCTCCAAATTTACACTTGGCACAATGCAGTCAGGCAAGTCACCTTTCTCCCAGGAACCGCCAAACCTAGACACGTCCATCAGATTGCCAGACAGAGAAGCTCTAGAGTCCAGTGGCAGCGTGCTTTACACCACTGCATCCGCCGCTTTGCATTGCAGTTGGTAATGTAAGGCTTGCATGCAGCTACTCGGCCATAGAAACCCATTCCTTGAAGCTCTGTACGCATTGTTGTTGTGCTAATCTGAAGGCCACACGAAGTTTGGAGGTCTTTAGCTATTGACTCTGCAGATAGTTGGTGACTTCTGCGCACTGTGCGCTTCAGTATGTGCTGACCCTGCTCTGTCATATTACGTGGCCTACCACTCCGTGGCTGAGTTGCTGTGGTTCCCAGTTGCTTCCACTTTGTTATAATACCACTAACAGGTGATCGTAGAATATTTAGCAGCAAGGAAATTTCACGGATGGACTTTTTGCAGAGGTGGCAACCTATCACGGTACCGCACTTGAATTCACTGAGCTCCTGAGAGTGACCCATCCTTTCACAAATGTTTGTAGAAGTAGTCTGCATGCCTAGGTGCTTGATTTTATACACCTGTGGTCATGAAAGTGATTAGAACACCTGAATCCAATGATTTGGAGGGGTGTCCCAATACTTTTGGCAATATAGTGTGTGTATGTATGTATATATATATATATATATATATATATATATATATATATATATACATACATACATACAGTTGCAAGAAAAAGTATGTAAACCCCTTGGGATTACGTGGAGTTTTGCATGAATTGGGCATAAAATGTGCTCTGAACGTCATCTAAGTCACAACAATAGAAGAACACAGTCTGCTGAACATAATACTACACAAACATTAGATGTTGCCATGGTTTAATTGCACATAACATGTAAACATTCACAGTGCAGGGAGGAAAAAGTATGTGAGGCCCTCATGTAGTACCCATCCCTTCTATATTCCATAATCCCCTTATACTGCTCTAACCTTCCATCTGTTTTTATACTTGCCTTCAATGCAGTAGAGTGGTGGCCAATTTCTCATAATCAAAAGGAGGAAGGGAGAAGCCAATATCAACACACCCAGGATAAGGGGGGGGTGCACCATCTTTATTACCAATGCAACAGAGCAGGTACGAGGTGGTATCAAAAAGTTTTGACACAAATTTTTTAACATGCCAACAGATGGCAGCACAAGGCTGCATGCAGTCAGAGGGAACACTGACCTTCATAAGTCCTGTGTACATAGGGAGCTGTGTAACTGGTGCTAATCTGACCATGTGCATTACCACTTCTGCTATTTCATCATGAATAGCAAGTTAGAACAAAGAGCAAACGTGAACTGATGAGAACAATCCACAACACTGCTGCCATTTTTATTTTGTAAAGCACTGCGCAAACTATTGGCACTATATAAATTCTGTATACTATTAATAATTGTCAGTGCGTCATACAGAATAGTCCAGGCAATCCTCATGTGTGATTTGAACATGTGCCGTGTTGCTGCAGAATTTTTCCCCAGGCTGATAACCCAGGAACACTGCATCAATGACTACCAAGAACTCAGTCAGTGCGCTGTGGATGACCCTCTCTTCATGTAGAGGATCATTACCGATGACGATACTTGGCTGTACGGGTTTCACCCAAAATTTCGAGTTTGCTTCCAATGAACACAGGATGATGTCTTTTGGCACACTGACTTTTAAAGGTTGGTGGTGCTCCCTGTGACTGTGTGGCCAGCCTTCTGCTGCCATCTGTTGGCATGTTACAAAACTAGTCTCAAAACTTTTTGATACTACCTCGTCTTATGCCATTAAAATGCATTAACATCTAACCACTAAGTGATTTTTATGGTCTTTAACATTTTGTCTTCTTGGTTACTAGAAAATATACACATATTCCCTAACTGCACAGTTTTATGAGGGCTTGCATTTTGTTGTGTAATAATTTAGTCAAGCAGCGCACAAAAAGCAGAGAGCAGTTAAAGAGGGGTTAGACAATGAAGAGTCAAGAGGAGAGAAAAATGAGGAGATAGAAAGAAAACAGAGACCAGAAAGCTGTTGCAGATGAAAAAAGTTGCAGAGATGGAAGAAAAGGAAAGTGGGTACTGGGCCAGTGGAGGAGCAAGGGAGTGCAAAGGATGTATGTAGGTGGAGTAGTAGGAATAACACCAGAGTAGTCTTTGAGAAAGGAGGAGGATATTGGAGACTGGAGAGTGGTGGAAGAGAAAGAGAAGAGAGGATGAAGACATGAAATATGCAGAGAGAAGGAAACTGGTGTGCATGGAATAGGAGACAATAGGATAGCTTTTTTTTTCTTAAGCTGTCCATACATGTAGTGAATTCCACTCTCTGGCACTGTCTTGATTGAATAATTAAAGGAGCTGGGCAGAAATGTGTAACCTGAACTTTGCTTACATCCAGATCCTGGAAGTGTTGGCTGGCAAAATACAAAGCCACAGTAAAAGAGTCATGAATTTGCACTTCATGGATGGAGGTAACGGTTAGATGTTTTACATTCAGCCTGCTTGCTATTGGTGTGTGGCCAGTGGTGTATTCAGATTTTGTACTGCCCTAGGCAGAAAGAGCCTGACATTGTTCAAGAGCACCCCTGCCCTCCACCAGAGCCTTCCACTACCACTGCCCCCCCCATACACCAGCCACCATCCCCCATGGCGATAGAAGAAAGACACTCACCTTCACAGCTCCGGACATCCCCAGGAACGAGAGTCGGGCTGTGCAACCCACAGGATCTCTTGGAACCCACCAGGTCCCCATGCCGTGTGTGTCCCTTCTGCCGTTCCTCCTTCCAAGGGGCAGTGCTGCCACCCGCCCTGAAAAATGCTGCCCTAGGCAAATGCTTTGTGGTAAATACACCCCTGTGTGTGGCCATCTTTAGCAGCACAGTGGTTACAAACAGTAATTAATGTTGTTTTTGTCCTCAGTTAAAATGTATATTTATGAAAATGTAAAAAAGCTCTTGGAAAACCATAGGTTAAGAAAACATGGAGACTAATTTGTTTTAATTTTTTTGAACAGTTTAATGTCACATTTAACACTGACAACTATAGTTTCTCCTTGAAAGCAATAATGATTGATAAACTAGAACTAATAACATGCTAAAATATTTTATTACATTTATTAGCATCATAGTTATACGCATCAGTCCTGGTTTACTAAAGTATCACCTTCCACAGATAGGAAAAGGCTTCACCTCATCAACTCTGTTCTTATGCACCTGGAATGCTGGAGTCACCCACCGACCACAAGAACACTGTTCTCCATACCAGTTGAATGAGCCCAATTTTGAGTGACATCTGGGGCAGAGGAGCTGAAAATATATAAAATATTAGTATTAATAGTAAAGATAAACTATGCAGTGATTTAGTAAGAATACAAATGATTCACTTTGACAAGTGTAGGCATATTTCAAAATGATTGTGAAAAAAGCTTAGACAGATAAATCCAGAAAGATCTTAACAAGCCCCCTCCTAGGCAGGTGGGCTATGTAATAACCCAGAAGGTTTAAAGTTGAATTGAAAGTATTATTTTAAAACGGCCTCCCGCTCTCTTGTTCTGGGAGGACATCATATAATGTCCTCCCACTCTAGCTGCAAATGAGCGCCCCTGGGGGCGCATGCCGCGGCAACAGGTGGTGCACTGTGTCCCTTGGAGACAGCAGAGCACTGATCATGGTAAAGAGACGATGGTGTAGGCTCTTTACCATGTGATCAGCTGTGTCCAATCACAGCTGATCACATGTAAATAGGAAATGCCGGTTATCGGTAGTCCTCTCCTCACACTGACAGCGTGTGAGAAGGGCCGATAAGCAGCAATCCTTAGAGGAGACATCTACACTGATCAGGGCATTGATCATTAGTGCCCTGATTATCAGTGCAGCCCAATCCGTCCTGCCCATCAGTGCCACCTATCAGTACCCAGTGATGCCCGTCAGTGACCATCAGTGCTGCCCACCATTGCCCATCAGTGATGCCTGTCTATGCCACTTATCAGTGTCCATCAATGCTGCCTATCTGTGCCCATTACTGCTGCCTATCTGTGCCCATCAGTGATGCCTGTCAGTGCCACCTATTCGTTCCCATCAGTGCCACCTGTCAGTGCCCATCAGTGATGCCTGTCAGTGCCCATCAGTGATGCCTGTCAGTGCCCATCAGTGCAGCCTCATCAGCACACATCGGTGAGAAGGATTCTTTATTTACATAATTTTATAACAAACTAAAAAAAAAAGTTTTTTTTTTTTTTTTCAAAAAAAAAGTTCGGTCTTTTTTCGTTTATTTAGCAAAAAATAGCTCAGTGGTGATTAAATACCACCAAAATAAAGTTCTATATGTACCAAACAATGATAAAGGTTTTGTTTGGGTACAGTGTTACAGGACCGCGCAATTGTAATTCAAAGTGAAAGTTAAAAATCTACCTGGGCAGGAAGGGGGTGAAAGTGCCCAACAGGCAAGTGGTTAAAGCTGTGGTTCCCATTTTTTTTTTACCTTAGGTACTCATTTAAAAATCCTTACATTCAAAACCTATTTTAAACTTGGCACCAATTACAAGCGAGAACGCCAGTGATTAGCTATGGGAAACAGCCCCAATGAAAGCAATGGGAGGCTGCCAGCACATACACATGAGTGCAGAAAAAAAAATAAAGAAGGGAAAAAGGGGTATTCCCACATTCTCTTTATTTAAAGGCTATGCAGCATAGGAGTGGAGGAGGTAGGCAACATTTGTAGCAGTTACAGTACATCCACTTTAAGTGTCAGAGGTGACAAATGACATGAAAAGTCTGTGGAAGCATTAAAGAAAACTCATCCTGCAGCAAATCATGGCTAAGTGAAGTCAGACCTCTGTCAGAACTAATCTCCATGCTTGTTCCAGGTTTGTAAAGCAAAGAACCACAGACATTGGATCAGCATGATAGCCAGGCAGGTCACATGCTCAGGAGGAGTGGACAGCAATGACAACCTCCAGGTGTCCCTTAAATCTGTTTCTCCTAGTTTTTTGGGTCAGACTATTTGGTAAAGCAGTCACACGTGTGTTTTTACAAGTGATAAAAGTTTACAGGTTTGTCTGCTATATTTGAAAAACGATTGAACAGACTAGTCCAAAATGAAGACTGAGGAATGGTACAAAATTATTTCTGAGGTGAAGTGCTATATGATATAGCATCAAATCCACCTTCTTTTAATGCTAAAGATGATAGATTTTGAGGCCTTGAGAAAAGGTTAGCTATCTGTAGCATGAAATTTCATTTAGTAAGAAGGATATCATTTTTCAAAAGATCTGGACAGCTACTGTATGTCTGAGTTAATGCTGACTTACCGCAAAAGCTAACTTACCTGAAAAATCCTTTGTCTGGAGTACAGTACAGGATGCAGAATCTTAGTCTTAGACAACTAGGGTATACAGTTAGCTTCAGGTGATTGGACACCGAAAAACAAAGCAGTAAGGACAGCGCTAGAATAACCCCTTCCACTCACAGCAAGCCTCAGTTTAGTAGCAAGCACCAAGGAGTGAATCAGAAGAACAGGTCTTTGAGTCAAGTCATTATCCTAATTTTTTAATCATACATTATAGGACACAGGATCCTAGTCTTAGAGGATTCCAAAAGCAATGCAACAGGGGTAGGCAACATGCAAAAGAAATGCAAACAGGCGAGACGTACCAAAGGACAGACAAAGGACTCGAAAACCCTGATCGGCCTAAAGGACCTTATGCCTGAAAAACTGGTGTCATAAGATGCCTGAACATCTACCTGGTAAAAGTTAAACAGTGAACAGAACACCAGATGGCGGCCTTGCAAATCTGAAAATCGAAAGCCTGATGCAGAAAAGAAGGTACTTTATCCTTCAAACTGTAGGCACGAGTGATGACCTGTCTAATTTACCTGGCAATGGTGGAATCAAAAACAGGATATCATCTATGGAGACCCTCAGGAATGACAAAAAATGAATTGTGTAAAGGAAGCCACAGCTGATAGGTAGACACACAGCACATTCCACATCCAGACAGTGCAGATAAATATCCTTGGAATGTTTCGGAGCAGGGCAAAAAGGAGGGAAGCACAATGTCCTGGTTCAAGTGGAAGGAGGAAACTACCTTGAGAAAAGAGGCTTTAGGCCACAAAGACAATCCTTTTTACAGGAAACACTAGGAAGGTTCCTTAATTTACCTTGTCCCTGTGATCCCCCGACCGATGTCCTCCAACGCTGTGTCCTCTGGCCGATGCCGGCATCCGTCTTCTGGGTTCCCTTCCCTGCGAGCGTTGTGATGCAGGGGGGCGGAACCAGCAGAAGATTCAAAAAAGTAAAAACGTGACATACACACAATACATTGTAATCTCTTAGGAGTACATTACTGTATCAAACCATTTTACCTCAGTTTTGTCTCCAGTGCTTTGTTCAGTGCCCTGCCTGCACTTTTACCGTTCTTTCCGCCTAGAAACTTGAGAAAGTCCATGGCATCCAAAAAAGTGTCCCTTTAGGTCAAAAGTGGTTTAAGACCAGCTAGAAAACAGTGATAGTGAATTAGAATCACTTGCACAATTGAGCAATAGTGATTCGTGGGGAAAGTCGTCATCAGACACTGAAAGTGACGACAATGATGATTCTGCGACTGAGCTCAGTGATGCGCGAACTTGGTGCTCTATATCAAATCTCTGTGTTTTTGGTTTGATTACATTACTGAATTAAATGTATTATTATATTATTTTTTTATAATTATTTAATATGTTATAATTTATGATTTCCTGTTTCAAACTTTATCATACCCAGGATGTTTACTAGACTCTTGTTTGGACAGATTTAAGTAGGTTATTCCTAAGAATTACAGGCCTACAATATAAAACAACAAAATTCCATAAAAAACAATGTACCGCTTTGACATTCAAAAATATTGACATAATTAGACCACCAGGAAGGTTAAGGGATAAGGTCACCATCTATGAGAAATGTCTTGCAGAAGTGATACCCATGAGGAAGGCAACCTTGAGAGTAAGGAAAGATAGGGAGATATCCCTGGTAGGCCCCAAAGAAGTTTTTTGAAGAACCAATAAAACCAAAGTTGAGGTATCATGGAGTGACTGGGAAGTTTACAGGGCAAACAATGTGAGCGACACACTGCACAAATGCACAATAAGTGATAAGCATTCGGTTTCTGGAGAAGAATGGCTAAGGACAAAATTTTACCCTTAATGATACTTACAACCAAACGCTGTTCCAGGCCAGATTGAAAGAATCATGGGTTGATAAGAGTCCAAGGATGTTGATTGGGAGCTGGATTTCTGCCAATGACTAATTCCCCTGAACCAATAGGCCATCCAGAACTCCACCCCAGCCGAAAGGCTGGCATCTGTCATAAGCACTTTCCAAGAAAATGGGAAAAAGGACTTCCCTGACTCCAGCACCGGAGTGGAAATCCACCTTCCAAAAGCAAGTTTGGTTTTACTGGTGAAGAGAAAAGGATGGTCCAGAAGCTGAATCTGCTTATCGCACAAAGCTAGAATATTATGTTAAACTAGCCTAGAGTGAAACTGGGCATATGGTACTGCCCCAAAGGAGGTTACCATCTCAACCAAGACCCTCATGCAAAACCAAAATTATGGGGTTGTCTCCTGGTCTGTAGGGTCTGAACATAGGTGCAGGGAGAATAAGGCCCAGCTATTACATGCAGTAGCTTGGTTCTAGTGCTTGCTTCTGAAGATTAGGGATCCATGTGAACCTCTTCAGTGCTTGCACCATCCGACAGACATTAGCTGAGAAAGTCCAAACTGACCATTTTATCAAGAGGAGGTTAGCCAGGTATATCAAGACACGGGTCTCTTGAAAGCGCAGATGAGCTATGACAAATGCAAAAAGATGGTGAAGACAGATCAAAAGGAAGGACAACAAACTGATAATGCTGCATATCTATAGCAGATCACAAGTAATGTCAATGTGGGAGGAAGATGGGGTTGTGCAATTAGGCATGCTTGATGTCCACAGAGGTCAGAAGGTCTCCCAGCTCAAGACACGCAATGACTAACCTGGCAGAAGTCCAGACCTTACAGCGAAAGTGTGAGTACAGGTTGGACACAGAAGTCCGAGAGAAACAAATGCTCCTTCAACGCAGGAACCAAAGGTTTGCCTGTAGAGGCTTTTGCTTTCTTCCTCTAGGGTAAGAGTACTCCTTCCTCTAGTGACTTCTTGATGCAAATGTCCAAACGGTGTACTCACCAAACAGGCGTTGGTCTTTAAAAAGGCATCCACACAAGAGGCTTCTTGTATGGAAGCTACACAGACCAACACATCCTTTGCATATATACCAAAAGGAGGCTCAACCTGGATATCTGGAAGCGAGTATAAGTGAACCTGTCTATGTTGCAGCAGTGGGTAAGAGCTACAACTGTTGGAGGACAGATGGATCCAGAAGAATGGACCCAGGGTCCCGGGCCATTTCCTTGGACCAGACAGCTATGTGTTAACAGAATACCATGATTGAGATAGCAAGTTGCACAGCAGAGTCAATCAGAGAAAATAGTGCCTTGCAGAGGGCTTCTAATGTCTTATCCACAGGGTCTCTGAAACAAGAACATCTTCAGCAGGAACTTTAAGAATGTTTTAAGCCAGAAATAGCTGGATCCACAGCAGAGACAGTCCACTTCTTCAGGAACCCCTCCTCAATAGGGAATCACTAAGTAGAGTGCTTGGGAGGGACAAAGATTTTTCTAGGATGAGGCCAGTCACTGTACCAGACAGCTTCAGAAGCAAGTATACTAGGAATGTTTTTAAAACCTAGGTTCTAACAAACCTTGGCTGCTGACCTTAAGTTGAGTCAACGTAGCCTGCAACATAGCTAGACAGTTTCACACTGCATTAATAAGACTGAAATAGTATTCTTCAGCTTGGGAGAGATACAGTGCTCAGCATAAATGAGTACACCCCAACAGATTTGTCAGAAAACCTTTACTCTCCTTTCAGAATCAAGATTTTCTGTGGGACACTATACTACAAAATACTCCCACAAATGAGGGCCATTGATTGCAAACAAGATTTGTTAACTTGCACACATAAAAAAAGTATTTTTCTTAACAAATTCATTCAAGACCATGTTGCAAAAATGAATACACCCCAATAAAAGTCTTAGGAGCAAAGCTAAATTTTAGACAACAAAATCCTAACTAAGAAGAAATCAACTACAGGCGAGTCTAATTAAACATGTTTCCAACAGACAGTTGATTATAAATGGCATTACTTACGAAAACCCCTTCCCATTTCATGCTGTCAGAAATGGCACCACATGGAAGAGAAATGCCACAAGGCCTGAGAAAGGAAATCATTTCTTATTTACATCCCTTAGACAGAGTTCTTCCATTACGTACAACTGCGCCATTGGCTGACTTCCTTACGTGGCACTTCTACTTTTCCGTTTCAGAAGTCTGCCTTTGAACAGATTTGTCACCACTGTCCAGGTTCGCCGGGTCTTATCTCTATTCTTTCTGCTTCTTTAAATAGACACCCAGCTCATACCACCCCTTCATATGTTGTGCAATGGGAGTGGAATCTGGCGGTAGCTGTAGACTTGGAGGACTGGAGTAGGGTCTGGTCTTTTGTGGCTAAATGCTCATTTAACACTACCACGTTGAAGGCAGCATATAAGGTGATGGCTCGTTTGTATTGGGTTCCGGCCCGTATTCACTGAGCGAACCCGTGGCTGTTTCAAGGGCTGTGCTCATCGAGGGGATGTTTTGCACATATGGTGGTCATGCCCACAATTACTCCGATTTTGGTCCTGTGTATTTGGCCTTCTCCACACCCTGTTTCACTTGACCATTCGTAGGGAGGCCCGGTACGCTCTTCTCCATTGCCCTATACCAGGCTTATTCGCTCATCAGTAGAAGTTGGCCTCCTATCCATTTTTGTTGGCTACTAGAACGATGGCCCACGTCTGGAGGAAGGCGTCCGTCCCCTTTCAAGGTCTGCTGGAGTCGGTGAGCTACATTTAATTGATGGTATTATGAATTCACAGATGTACTGCCCTATATTGAAAGAGAAGTTGCTAAAAATCACTCCATGCCCTTGGTCATCGTGCACTTTTTCAACATGACAATGATCCAAAACACACATATTAGGCTACTGTTGCATTCCTGAAGAACAGGGTGAAAGTGATTCAGTGGCCAAGTATATCTCCTGATCTGAACCCCATCGAACACCTATGGGGAATTCTGAAGAGACAAATTGAGCATCACTCTCCATCCAGAATCCAGGCTCTAAAAGAGGTTGTGCTTAAAGAATGGAAGAAGATAGATATTGCAATATGTCACCAAGTTGTTCATTACATGGCTAGAATACTTGGTGCTGTCCTTACAAATCATGGAGGTCATATAAAATACTAGATGTAGTAGTTTTTGTTGTGGGGTGTATTCATTTTTTTCATCAACTAATTTGAGTAGAACTGATTTTGTAATCTTATATTATTAACCTTACTTTCATGTAATGAGCTAAACAAATGTTCTATAAAAACTCAGTTTTGTCAGAATTTTGAAAATTTTTGTGTTCATTGATTAAAATCTTACTTTTCAAAATGGGTGTACTCATTTAGGCTGAGCACTGTATCATCCGATTGGATATCCTTCCATGTTGAGTCCTCTGTGCCAGATGAAGAACCCTCCTCTTCAGGTAGCTTAGAAGCAGTAGAAGGAGAATCAGAGATGGACTCTGGAGAAGAGGCAGAGAGAGTCTGCTTACATCCTCTAGGATCTGAGCAACTAACAGGGCAGGCGGCCTATCCATCTAATCAGACATAGTGGCTTGAAAATTCCACTCTGGAAAGGCAGGAGGAGACCTCTGAAGAGTGTAGCAGCTCAGACTGGGGGCAGTAGTTAGGACTATCAGCATCAGGACCATTAGGGAAGATGCTGCAGACCTTCCCATAGCTGATAATTGAGAGTCAGCAGGCAAGGTCCGATGACCCAATTGCTAGTCTGCCTTGTGTAGTGAGGGACAGCCTACACAGCAGTACTCAGAGCAGAAAGGGGTTATCTTCCTACTACCAGTCACTGTAGGTAGGAACCCAGAACGTCTAAGGATTGCTGTGCCATGAATCCAAGAGGAGGCAGGAAATCAGGCAACTGACCATGCTCCCAAGAGCTTGTGCCTGTACAGTAAGGCCCCCCAAGACCAAGACTGTGCAGACACGGAGGCAGCCCTGACCCTGCACAGAATTTTGATGGGTAATAGGGGACACATTTGAATTGAGGTAGTGGCTAAACTTGTTCCTTTCTTAGTTGTGCATTACAGGATCCAGGATCTTAGTCTCAAACAACTGTAGTTGCCTTTAGGAAGTGGGACACTGACAAAACTGTAAGTACAGCCCAAGCATAACTCCCACCACTCCCAGCTAAACAAAAATTTTAGTGTCTTTTGGTGTACAGACCTCCTCTCCACACTGCTCTGAATGAAGGAAACTTTTTTTTGTTTTCTTTGTTAATTTTTTCATCAGGACTTTTATCAAGCTAATAGCGGTTTATAGCAACTGTGACTTTCAGATTGGTTGACTTCTCAACTGCCCCTTGGAGACTTATATCCGGACACTGTCAGAAAGAAGATGCAGAGCCAGTTTGTGGTATCGCTTTGGTAACTGGATATTGCATTTGGCGCTCACCTAGGCTCAACACGATGAGTTACCATAGTGTACTATACAGGTCCAGGGCTGTTGTCCATCCACCAGTGGAACCCTGACCCTGAAGACACCTCAGGATATCTAAGGACCGTGGAAAGGTTGCGAACTGTTTTGGGACTTTAATTTAATTTACTTTATAACATCATGGGAGCACTTTCCAAGGGTGTGTTCTAAATTTTTTTTCTCCCTTTCATGTAGAGATCGTATCAATAACAACAAATTGTGTTCTTTTAGGTTAAATTCAGAGTGTTCACTCTTTAACCACTTGCCCTCCTGAGGAACTAACCCCCTTCCTGACCAGGCCATTTTTTGCGATACGGCGCTGCGTTATTTTAACTGAAAATTGCACGGTCATGCAGCGTTGTACATAGAATTACATTTACGTCCTTTTTTCCCCACAAATAGAGCTTTCTTTTGGTGGCATTTGATTGCCTGTGCTGTTTTTATTTTTTGCACTATAAACAAAAAAAGACTGACAATTTTGAAGAAAAAAAAAAAAAAAAACTATATTTTTTTACTTTTTGCTATTAAACATGTCCAGTAAAAAATTTAAAAAATCAAATTTCATCATAAATTTAGACCAAAATGTATTCTGCTACATGTCTTTGCTAAAAAAAAAAAAAAAAAAAAAAAAAAATGCCAACACGTTTAAATTAATTGGTGTACGTGAAAGTTGTAGCGTTTACAAATGGCGGTATATATACTGAATTTTTTTGCTTTTGTTTTACTAGTAATGGCGGCAATCAGCAACTTATAGCAGGACTGCGGCGGGCATTCTGACATTGGGGGGAACTGACTTGGTATCACTGACATCCCCAGTGACACCAATACAGTGATCAGTACTAATAAAAAGCACTGACAATGTACTAATGGCACTGGACAGGAAGGGGTTAACATGTGGGGCGATCAAAGGGTTAACTGTGTGCTGTTTTACTATGTGGGCTGTGTGCGTTTCATTGTAAGCACACTGCTTTGTGTGGCTTCCCTATACAGAGCCATACAAAAGCAGTGTGCAGAAGCTGACAGGAGAGAGAGCTGTACTGTTTACATACAGGTCTCTCCCCCCGTCGGAAATCCTTGGAGACCACCGGGTGCCGTTGGGGAATCACCGGACGGGACCCGGTGAATGACAGCCGAGGCCGCAAATGGCGGTGCAGGTAGGGCGTGCCCTTCTTTAGTAGTATTTCAGCTGTAGGGTGGCATGGAAGTGGTTAAAAAGGTATGCTATGCTATTTCACTACAATACAAATACAGATATGAACACTTACTCATAACTTATGGACATCCATGGTGCACACAGTCAAACTTTCTCTGTGGAGTGAACATTGACTGCCTCTACATGTGAAGAGACTCTCTAGGGAAACAAAGATTATAATTTTCCAAATTTACCTGCCCATCCATTACTCCCAAAAGACTTTCCTCCATCCACTGCACAGGTTCTACAAAGTATGAGGTGCATTTGGCAGAGTCTGAGCTATTTAGCACTGGTAATCTTTTATGAGCAAACGCCACAGGTCCAGCACCTAAGGAGTGATTTAAAATGCTTTCTGCACGGAATAAGGAACGCCTGGGGGAAATAAAAAGGTTTAAATAAATCTGTTCTTTCAAAGTATACATAAAACTAACATGAACAAGCAATAGACTGACCAAAGAACTAAAACAGTATCAGATATTTTGTTCTATGTGTGACATGAGACAACACAAACTGAAACATGACTCAAGCACATGCAGAATAGCCAACCTTATAAATGCCATCCAACTCTATATTAAATTTGATTTTAATACTATATGACACCGCTACAAAAGCGGCAGAAGGGTGGTGACACGTCTACACAACCTTGGTAATGCACACACGAATTAATGTATAAGAGGAATAGGGGTACATTCTAGCTATTACATACTTAATATGGAGATACAGCATTTCTTCAGTTTATTTAGTATATAGAAGAGGTGGAGGTGATTTTTGCATGCAGCGAAAAACACAGCTACTAGGAACAATTTCCAAATTGTAGTAATTTTCATGTAAAAAGATCTTATATGAAAGACATACTTAGTACAATGAATACATCTTTCCTTAGGAAAGCAAATCCAACCTGCATTTCCTGCAGCGATACAGAACCTCTTTAGTTTGAGTTACGGAGCTAGGATCCAAAGCAAACACTTCACGTGGCAACTTTTGCAATTCTGAGAAAAGCCAAAAAAAAAAAGTAATTAGCTGTTAAGTATACGTTACCTCAAACATTTATATTTCATATGCACCTATCATCCGATAGAAAAGCTGCTTTAGCTTTTTTACAGCTCAAGTTGTTGGAAAAGTTAACACTGGTTCGATAGAAAGGTGTGACTTTGCTGACCTGTGTTCACAGCTAAATGTGCCTACAATGGGCATGTGAGCATCAGAATAGGAATAAAGAGCAACGGAAGAAGGTGGCCTGGTCGAATGAATCACATTTTCTTATATATCATATGGATGGCTGGGTGCAAGTGTGTTGTTCAATTGGGGCAAAAATGGCACGAAGATGCACTATGGGAAGAAGGCTGTGATCTGCTACTGAGGGCTTGGTGCCAGATACCACAGTAGACTTTTAGAGGTCTAGTGGAGTCCATGCCGCAAAGGGTCAGAGCTGCTTTGGTGGTAAAAAGAAGACCTACTCAATATTAAGTGGGTGATCATGTTATGGTGGGTGGTAGTAATGTTATGACTGATCAGTGTATGTGTCTGGGTTTTCATACAGTCAATAGTAAATCTAGCCCGTTTGCTTTTTTTAATGTCTTCATTTGTTTACAAATGCCTGCTGATCCTACCAGTTGCCAATATTTCCCATTTCTATCTGGACATATAAGCCACAGAAGCAGATCTATGCTGGTGTGGTCAGTTTGCTTAGCTGCCACTGCAGTTTGAATACAAGAGGCTCTTGCACATCCCTGCCTACAGCCAGCACTTGGAGTTTCAATGAAGCTAAAGGTCTCCTGTCAACTGTTGTCAGCAAAAGCTGCGTACGTTCTTCTGCAAGTCACTGCACTCCCAGCCCTCTGAGCTACAAGAGAACCCCCCCTACCCCCCTAAAAGCTCCATTTCCATTTATTTTTAGACATTTCAGCATGCACAGAACAGCAGTAGGATGCTGAACAGCCAGGCAATTTTTAAATACCTGGGGAGAATTGGCAGGTTTTTGCCCCCACATCACCATTAGTTTTAATGAACCCCAATATCCTTCCCCCAAGACTTCATATCAGTGTAAATGGAAACTAATAATTTGGGTAAATTTGTAACAAAACTTTTTCAAATGTTTAAACTTTTTAACTAATTCACAGCAAATTACAGCTAGTTGTCATTACAGCCTTCACACCTAAATGTCTTTGACAAGCAAACTAACATAGTATACAAAAAGGAACATCTGGGTAGACATGTGAATCTGAAACTCAAATTTCGAATAGAATAGAACCAGCTATTCTTCACAATGAATTTGGATAAGATATTTTCAAATTTGATTAAAATACTTCTAATCTATTGAAAAAATCTGATTTTGGTTGAAAACAAATAAAACAAATTTTGTTACGAATGCAACAGAACAAAATTAGTAACTTAACGAATTGATACGAAACAAAACTAATTTTTGTGTTCTGCACATGTCTAGATCTGGGCTTTGATGATTAAGCTTTCATACCTTGATGAATATAGGGCTGTACTGTTGGCAATGGGGGATGGGTGCAAGGGAACCTGTATTTTACCTGTTTAGGAGTAGAGGTTTGTTATACAAATAGGAGGAATGCAATGCTTAAGATACAGTATATCTAAAGCCAAAGCATAATTTTTAATTTTAGATTTTTTTTTTCCCCTGAACTGAGAGGTTCATCTACAAACCGTAGTCGTGCAACTTTACGATAGACATAACATACTGCTCCTTACACCTAAGGAATTCATTTTGAGAAGCTTGCAGCCGACCAACATTTAAAAACCATCTCTAGTATATATTTTTTTTCCTTAAGTACTTTTCTATCCCCTCCTGTTGTGACAAAAAAGGTTTTGAATGTTCTGCTCAACCTCTTCACTCTCCAGTACTGTCCTTTCCATCCTCCTCAGAAGCTGGTTGCCATTGTTCTTCTACAATAAATGATGGCCAGCCTAATCCTACCACTTTCTGTGCAGCAGACTTTCAATAACATCTCTTGGCAGTGTATTGTCACTATGCAGCTTGACCTCACTGCATAATGCTGCACAGAACAGCACTCAATTATCACAACATCAGTAGCGCTCTATGCAGCAGTACTGGCACTGTTGAACAGTGGTCTCCAAACTGTTGCCCGGGGGCGAGATGCGGTCCTGTGCTTGCCTTTATCCAGCCCTGGGGGCACTATTCATCCCACTGATACAAGACACTATTCTGCCCACTGATACCAACAATGGAACATAATTCCTCCTACTGACAATGGGGCACAATTCCTTCCTCTAATACCAAAGATAGGGATTCCAGGAAAAATTCTACTTTCACTGGCCACGGTCTGACCCCCCTAAAGTCTGAAGGACAATAAACTTGCCCTTTGTGTAGAAAGTTTGAAGACCCCTGCTGTACAAGAAGGACCGTGCTTGTCAAGTGACTGGCTAGAAAACTCTTGAAATGAAGGTATGTACCAGAAGGGGGAGGTGATAAAGTCAATCAGGAGTTGGACTTCAAAAACTCCATCTCTGGACAGAAGTGATTGGCACATGATGTTTTACAAAAGTTAGCATGAAAAATGCATTTACCAGGGTATTTTTCCGTTATCTTCTGCAGTCGATACTGTTTATAACTTGCACTGCTCATATCCACTTCACAACCCATTGCTTCAAATAGTGCTAGTTGGTTTACAAACTCCTCATTGATTCTGAAAGAAGCACATTTAATTCAATTCATTGTGAAAATAAGCAGATTTCATTAACTCGTTCAGCTACATTAAAGCTGAAGTTTCTTCTGCTTATATTTTGCCTTCCCTGGTTTCTCCCTTTCCCCTTTATCAACATGTTAAATAAACATTATCAACATTTTTAAATAAAATATGCTTCTATAAGCAGTGCAGGGAAATCATGGCTGATGCTTCTTCTGAAAATATCACAGCACCCCGATTCAGTATTATTCTCAAAAGCCTCAGCCCTGATTCAAGCAGTAGGCTGGTTCTTGGGAGGAGACATGTAAATATTAACACCTTATGGGCAGCTCACAAATTTCCTAGCATGCTTACCAGCTGGCCTGAAAAAAAAAATTGACCCCGCTAACAATTCACTTAAAAAAAACAGTTCTTTTTTATTTATTATTTTTGGCGGGGGGTTGCAGGCTAGCTGGTAAGTGTGCTGGGGGAAATATTTGTTTGGGGTGTGTTAAGCCCTTCCATCTGCATCTTACTGCAAAGGCTAGTTAAAAATTAGGGTTGTTGTCATCTTTTAGTATAGTTTGCTCACTGGATTTGGCGTGGGGACATATTGGATGCCTTCAACGACCTCCTTCCAGGCATGCGTGCCCTTCATTTATCCATAGCTATTTATGCTCCAACTTGGAGACTCTCAGATATAGAGTTAGGACTGCAATACACAGAGGAGCCTTGACAAGGCACTGCAGCTTCCAAATATATTTGCAATATATGAATTGTTTGACAGGGTTAATTTGTTTTTTTGTTCTGTTTTTCAGGCTAGCTGGTAAGTGTGTTGGGATTTCTTTTGTTTGTTTGTGATGTGGAAAGCCCTTCTATGTGAACCTTACTGCAAAGGCTAATTATAATTTGGGGTGGTAACCATCTTTTTGTAAAGTTTGTTTTATGTGTCAGTCTGGAGGTGTGGGTGTTCCTAGACAGACTGTATATGACTGCAAATCACTTTAGCTAATACCCCATTTGAGGTTAGCATCACACATACTGTAGGTGTTGGCTAGAGTGAAAGAACGTAAAGTGGTTGTAAACCTCTGGCATAAAATATGAACAAAGCATATCCCTCTATAGAGTGTACTTGTCTCAGTCCAGAGTACTAAGTAAAATTTTCTGTCTACTGCCTTGTTCCTCTGTTATCTGCATGAAAGGTTTTCTTGACACCAAGAGGTAAAAAGGTGACAGGGGGGAGAGCTCAGCACACAGCCTGTGCATGACAGCCTCAGCTCTGTTCCTATGTGCTGTGTGAAGGGGAATGTGTGCCTTTGCTCCAATCAGCTCTCAGCACTCCTTACGGAGCTCTGCAGAATGTAATTTCAGCTACCCGTATCCTGCTTTCTAAAATCTTAGACAAACGGTACAAATTCTAAACTATGAATGGCTGCAGAGAAGAGAAGACTACAGATAAATAGGCACAACATGCGTAGGAGCATTTGTTTAATCTCTGAGCATTACCTGAGGATTGTCCCTTCACTGGGTATATGTAAGGGTTTACAACCACTTTAAATCCAATGAATAAATGAGGTGGGCCAGCCACTGTAAGAATGGGAATGAAAGGCCCAGCCAGGAAATGAGTCAGGCTTCATCTGACTTGCATACAAAGGAAAAGAGCAGGGCACCAGACGAATGTGTGATAAGAACAACAATAGTATAATGTTGCACACTTGCATCGAAGCTATCGGTGACTTTGCAGTTGTACAGCCTCTCATAGTTATGCATACATAGTTATCACCCAAACTGTACTATCCGCTCCTCGCACAACCTCCTACTCTCTAGTTCCTTTGTCCCCTCCTCCCATGCTCTTCTCCAGAGCCTCCCCCATCCTCTGGAACTCTCTACCCCAATTTATCAGACTTTTGACGACTCTACTCACTTTCAGGCGATCTCTGAAAACCTCTCTCTTCAGGGAAGCCTATCCTGCCTTCAGCTAATAATGGAATCTTCTATTACTCCTACCAGTCAATCCCCCACAGTTATTACCTTTTGTACCACTAGCCCCTCCCTCTTAGATTGTAAGCTCCAAGGAGCAGGGCCCTCCTAACCCTCTTGTATTGAACTGTATTGTTGCTGTATTGTCTCCTGTTATATTGTAAAGCGCTGAGCAAACTGTTTGCGCTATATAAATCCTGTATAGTAATAATACTTTCTCTGATGATCCCGTTCTATCATTGAATGGCTCAGCCTTCTCAGCTGTTCAAGTTGTTTGGCTAGCCCCACCCACTGTTCCATTTTTGATTGGTTCCTTGGACGGGTACACGGCCTATAAATTCTCCTTCTTCCCCCTGGGCGGACCAGCTCAATAAAGGAGGAAGAGCATCGGAAACGCGTCACGGCCCATCCATCTGTCACTCATTGGTGCCTGTCATACTTGTGTCTTTTGGCGGTAGTAGAGGGGAGACATGTTGCCGGCCGGCATCCATTCATGAGCGGATCCACGTGTGTGCCTCACATCTGATCACAGTCCACACCCACGAGCGGACCCCTGTGAGTCTCACAGTGGATGTCCGTCCATCCATCCTCATGGGAGAGAGCTGTATTTTGACGCCATCTTGATCTATTGAGCTGTTCACAGGTTGCCCTGATGTAAGTGTGCTACATAGTATTATTTTTATCACACATTCATCTGGTACCCTGCTCTTTTGTTTTGCATGTCCATGAGGAATTCCCCATATCCTTGGTGAGGTGCTGCCGGAATGGTATTTCACTCCATAGTGATCCAGCTGCCCAACTCTGATGCAGATCCATTTATGGACTAGAATATATTTTGCACTGTTTACAGTATATTTATATAATTTTTATTTATACCGATTTGTTTCCATTGTTGTCTATGAGCACTGGATTTGGCTGGCTTGTTATGGTTTCATATAACTTGCAGCATCTTCTAATGTGCAGCGTGAGAAGCTCACAGTATGCAGTGAAATCATTTTAGTACAGGAGAGGAGCCTGTACCACTGATGGTAAGGCTGGAGTTCAGCCTTCACAACACAATGACTGATGTGCAGTACAGGGTAGCAAACAAAAGTGCCTCCATCCAAAGACACAAACTGTTTTTTGTTCAATTTATATTATTTTATTTTTTTTTACAGTTTGCAAGCCTAAAAACTAAAAATGTTTTACATAAGAGTTTCAATTACAAATAAAAATTATTATTCACAAACAACGTTATTTACATTACATGGTGCATTCATAACCCTCTGTTTAAAAAGCATGCCAGCTGCATTACTCTACTAGCACATGAAGATGGGATGTGCCATATTCAAAATTTCGTATATATTTGTCCAATCTTTTTTTTTTATTGTTCCTTTTTTTAGTTTTGTATAGCACATGTGGAAGGGTTAGGTTTTTGCTGCTGTCTGTGTCCCCTCTTGGGAGACTCCCCCTCTCTATTTGTGGTCACCACTGTCACAAAAACAGAAATTAATTTTTGTATCAAAAATTTGACAACTGTAGCAGTAGGGGGGGGTGAAGGGAAACATTCCAGTGGGGACAGCTGTTCCAGTGACAGCTCTTCCCTTCGCTTTACAGAGATTTTTACTTGCTTCCAGTTGTACATGACGTTAAGGGAAATCCTCCCAAAATGACACAGACAGAAAGAATACTGCCAGGTGTTATAATCGATCCCTACTGCAAAACTAGAAACATTTAGATACATTTTAAAGTACAGGAATACAAGGAAGAGACTTTGGAGAGCATATATTCTCAGAGTGTCACCTACTGGCTTCAGTTAATAAACTTTTATAAGCAATATTTGTTTTATAATAGATTAAAATAACATGTTTTATTTTAGTACAAACATAAAAAATAAAGTATATAAAGCACTATAAAATCCCTTTAAACTATTAGTAGTATTCTGTATATTCACATAAAACTATTAAGTAGTAAATACAAGGTTGGTAGAGTTCATTTCCACACAAACATACCTAATATCAGATTTTGTGTCCTGTAGTCTTCTGTATGCTTCTTCATAAGTACAACTTGTTGTGTTCATCAAATATGCTACAACTACAGCAGCACTTCGGCTAACTCCAGCATGGCTGTTGGGGGAAAAAAAAAAAAATAATTTGTAATGCATCCACATTCTCATTTTCCAGTTGTGCAAGAACATTTGCAATGAACAATGGAAGTATACAGTTACAGTATGTTACTTTGTGTGCCAAGCACCCCTTTTTGTGTTCTGGATAGAGCAGAGAAAGATTAGAACCCCTGTCATGCTGCCCCCCGCTACGTTGACTCACCCTCACCATTTGTATTGACCATTGCAACCAGCAAAGAAGGAAGGAAAGTCAAACTTTTACAGTTGTCACCAGAGGTGTGGCAAAATCTTCCAATTGAGATACCTGTTCTGGTAACAACTGTAAGAGAATTCCCCTCTTTTATTATTTATTTATTTCAGGTACTTCTATAGCGCCGTCAATTTACACAGCGCTTTACTTACTGTATATATTGTACATTCACATCAGTCCCTAACCCTCAAGGGGCGTACAATCTAAGATCCCTAACTTCCATTCATACATACACATACTAGGGCCAATTTAGACAGGATCCAATTAACCTACCAGCATGTCTTTGAAGTGTGGAAGGAAACTGGAGTACCCGGAGGAAACCCACGCAGGCACAGGAAGAACATGCAAACTCCAGGCAGGTGGTGCTGTGGCTGGAATTCAAACCAACGGCCCTAGTACTGCCAGGCGGAAGTGCTACCGATTTAGCCACTGTTTTCTCTTTACATTTACAGAAAGTGAGGAGAAATCGTCTTCAGTGCAACATGGGCAGCAAAAACTAAACAGGAGTTTTAACGCTTCCTTACTTTATCCAAAAACAGAAAAAAAATGACTTTTAGCTATAAATACACTGGAGTGTCCATTCACACCAGATATGCTGGCATTAGCTGATCACTACATGCCAGCGCATGTACATTGTAGAAGCAATGTATTTTATTAGGAGCAGTTCACACCAGTGCTCTACTTTTATTTTAGCGCAACACAAGTAAATGCATGAAAGTGCACTACATTGTACAGAAACGCAGGAGGAAAGACAGTCAGTAACGTTTCATTTGCAAATAAAGCTTAGTGAAGTTTGAATAAACTCTACACATTGCAGTATGAAGGGACCCTTAAACGGATTGGTCACTCAAAACTCATGCTTTTATGTTGTAAAGGAAGTCTACCCTCATATGGGGTATTACACTATAGATCTTAATTTAATAAATCACTTATGTGTTTTGGTTTTTACTTTTCCAAGATGTGCGTTCATAGATCCTATCAGGTTGAGATGGATCTGTCCTACTGTGCATCAGTGTAGGCGCATTCCCCCACTGTGATGTCTTTGTAACAGTTAAAGTGTTACTAAAACTGGGACCCTGCATTCACTATATCTGGTCTCCCACAGTACACAGAAAATGGAAATGCAGTCATTTTAGTAAATATAAACTGGTAAATACCTTTTCTCATCAGCAGTTAGAGCAGTCTTGTGACTTCTATCAGTGTCCAGCAGAGCACATGGTAAAGCTTGTAGGAGGAACTTTCATTTTGCTCTAGGAGGATGCAGAACCCCTGACCTGTCTGGGCAGTGCTGATTGGCCCTGTGCTGATCACATACACTCTCCCAAGGAAAAAAAAAACCTCTCTAGCCATACACACCAAAACTGAGCATGTGCAGAGTGCCTCAACCCAATATGACTTAGGAGATAAGAGGGGGACACTGGAAGAAGAGGAGGATTAAAAAACACAGGATCAAATAGCATTTTTACACAATGCAGAGGAGGATCAACCCCTTAGGTTCCACGGTGAGTATAACAAGCATGCTCTACTGAACATACAGACTGATTTTACTGGTTTGTCGGTTTAGTAACACTTTAAGTGATATGTGATCCATTTGGTTGCAAATATATTACTGTATGAACTCACATGAACCAGTTATTTTGAACATAACATGTTTAGTCAGTGGTGATGCTATGCTTCTGTTTATTTTCAGTGCATGTATTTTTCTTAAGTTTCCCTGAAGAAGAGAATATGTTGAAATATGGCAAAACATGAGAAATTTGCACCCAGATTGCATTATGATCACCGTTATACCTGTTCTCTTGTTTTTATGCGAGTTTAATGAGACTTGTTGAATGCAATTTGTTTGATTTTTATCATTTATACAGATATGTATTTCGGTACTTGTGGTTTTGTCACTTTGGTGGCTGCTGCTATCCCCTTTGTATTTCTGTATTTTATTAGCTAGATCCTCAATATATTAATGCAGGCCTCATCAATTTAAATGCCAAAAAATTTAAAATGTCCCCTACATAGCACCTTCACATTCATCAAAGACAGTCTGTGAAAAGCTTACACCCAAGAACAAAAAAAATAGCCAGTCTCTAGCTGTGTTGACTGCATTCATTTTTTCCCACTTTTATGGTGACTCTGCCAGTAACACACTTGCTGTCCTAGGGTGACAATGATCACTCACGCACTGTACTGTGTCTATAGAAAAGCAGGATTGTCATTCTAAGAGAGGAAGTTTGTTTGAACTACAAAACACCCCTTCTTAATCTGCATAACATAGTGAAGAAGTGTTCTGTAGTTCACATCAATGAACTGAGCAGAGCTGATACATTGCATAGGATTTCAATGCAGCACAAAATTCTATGAGCTCACTGAAATTCTGGCAGGATCAACAAGCATTTTTCTGTACTTGCAGGGTTTTTATAGTGACAAGACAAGTGTAAATGCATTGGAGCAGTTCACTGTTTTTTTTTGTCCATACTTACACTTTAACTTGAAAAATGCACTAACCAAAAATGATTTCCTAACTTACTTTTACTTTTAAAACTTGTGTCTGAGTACATAAGCCATATGTCTCCTGTAAACTTGTTATTGATGAAAACGATTTTATTGGTAACTTGCTGTGTGTCAGTTTTAAAATGAATCCAAGAAGGCAGCCATGTGCCAACCACAAGATAAGCAATTTGTTGGTGTGCGGGTAAATTCAAAAGGTGAAGCTCAACCCCCCCCCCCCCCCCCCAGCCCCCCTTATACTTACCGGAGTCCGATTTCAATCCAGTAATGTGCATGAGAGCAGCAGCTCTCTCGGCTGTCTCTTCTGATTGGCTCACATAGCAGCGGGAGCCATTGGCCGCTGTCAATCACAGCCAGTGAACCAAGGAGAATGGAGCAGGGGTGGGGCCAAGCTACACTGTGTTTGTAAATGGACATACAGAACACAGCTGAGGAGCGAGCAAAGCTTGCTTTTTGGGGCACTTAGCGGGGGGGGAGGGCCACTTGCAGGGGACCCAAAGAAATAAAAGAAATAGGAGGATCAGGGCTGCTCTATTCAAACCCATTACACAGAGCAGGTAGGTATGACATATTTGTTGTTGTTTTTTTAGAGTCACATTAAAAGGTGCATTTTAAGGTCTGAATGGAGAAAGAACAAATAGAGGGCTCACCGGCCTAGTGCATTACCATAAAAAAATTTTTAATAAGAGATAAAAGTAGGTATTGTATTCACAAATGACAGTAAAGTCAAACGCACATCATAAAAGAACAGCTTGGTCAAAACTGCGCTACATGACTGTCTGCGATAGGGAGTGTAGACATCCGATAGGCTAACGTGTTTCGAGAACTTGCCTCTTCCTCAGAGCCACTGAGGCTGTGGCTCTGAGGAAGAGGCAAGTCCTCGAAACGAATTACCCTTTCGGATGTCTACACTCCCTATCGCAGACAGTCACGTAACGCGGTTTTGACTAAGCTGTCTTTTTATGATGTGCCTTTGACTTTGCTGTCGTTTGTGAGTACAATACATACTTTTATCTCTTATTAAACATTTTTTATGGTAATGCACTAGGCCGGTGAGCCCTCTATTGGTCTTTCTCCATTCAGTAAATTTGGATTTCCCCTGTCTTTTGAGGGCAGCAAGGTGTGCATATTCCAGGACATGCTTGTTGTGGTCCTAGCCTTCATTGAGTCCATCCCCAAGCGCAGGAGCATTTGTGTTTGCTGGTTCTTTGCATATCAAGGTCTGTTTGAACACTTCTAAAAAAAGAAGAGTGTGTGAAAAGGTGTCTAGAGTGTACAATAGGACACATGCAAAACAGATTTTAAAGCAGTGTTAAACTTTTAGTGTCTTTTAGGTTCACCGTTGCATCGGTCCCCTGCCCCTCTTCAATGACAGCGATCATTCAAAATCCGGCACATGCACTGCTGGTTTTTACCAGGTATGGCAGCACATCTGTACAAGTGGGGGGGATTTCTGAGAGCCAGAGGAGAGGTAGATGGATCACCCAACATAATTCAGAATAGATTTGACCACAGAGGACCATTTTACAATAGTGGAACTGGAATATGATGAGAAAATGTACATGTATTTAATTGTAGAATGTGCGATAAAGCATAGATGCTGGAGGTAGTTAATGCTCAAATAAAATGTTTCAAATCAAAGCAGAATCAAATATTGCCCCTCAGCAATAAGGATGCCATCGGGAAATTTAAAAAAATATATATTTATTGCCCACAAACAACAGACTTGTATTAGAGGAAAGAATGGACCATCCCAGAGATATTAGTGTTTACCTAAATCTAAAAATAGGGTTTAGGCTCACCGGTCTCCCTTGAAGCTGCAATTACAAACACTGTACCAATTCCCCCATCCCCACCAAATGCCTCTGCCCTGTGAGAATTCCCCTGAAGTCCCAGAAACCACTGCTTTAATGCCCTTTCCCTCTGTTTGCTTCATCAAAGCGGATCTGAGTAACAGAAGCTTTGACTGGCTGTTCAGGTGAAGGCAGTTAATCACAGCATGCATCCTATCAGAACCTGCACCCACACAGTTCTGTGTTGTGGCTAACAGACAGAAGAAGTAATAAAACAGAAGCTGTGGAATAAACAACTTGGACCTCTTACTTAGATAAGTGGTTTCCCACACCAACCCTCAAGTACCCTCAACAGGCCGTGTTTTCAAAATTTTTCTTAGAGAAAACAGCCAAACCAAGCCATTGACGTTTTCTTTTTAAAGTGCCTGTGCAAGGTGAAGGAGATCGTAAAACATGACTTGCTGGAGATACTTGAGGACTGCGGAGCTGCTCTGTAACTTTACACTGCTAACCTGTAGACATTTTTAAAGCATCACCCATGGACATTTTTAAGTACCGCAGTTTTACGCCATTCCACAAGCGTGCACAATTTTAAAGTGTGACATGTTGGGTATATATTTACTCGCCGTAACATCATCTTTCATATTTTATTAAAAAATTTGGGGTATATGTTGTTATTTTTTAATCAGTGTATTGTTTTCCAAAAAATATATATTCATTTTTAAAACACACAGAAAATTGATGTTGAGCTAATCACAATAATGCCACAGACATTCCAAAACAAATAATGAGATGAGAAGACAATAGATAATACAACATAACATAATCAGTAAATGGAAGGAATATGGGAGTGAAGACAAAGGTGAAATAATAAAGGTCCAAAATGAGGACCAAAAGGTGTAACAGACAATAAATCATGACCGTGGGTAAACCGCACGGAAATGATCAGGGAGAAATATCATATTAACTAAATCACAGTAATAGTGGGACATATGAGTCCGTCACAACATAAATGAAATAACGTGAATACAACTGATGAGAGAGTGGAGCAAAATGTGAAAAATACAAAATGAAGTGCTTAATATTAAAAGTGGACAAACTACTTATCACAGAAGAATGACAATAACAACGCACAGTGAGGCCAAAAATTGTGACCATGCAACTAAAGAGTCATACCACAATGCGCGTCAAAAGGCCATGTGACATAAAATGACTAATAAGTGACCATATAAATACCATAAATAAATGTGGCAAACATATATAGAGTGCAACTAGTATAAAACAGAAAATGGTGATATAAACGCACAGTGAAACCAAATGAATGTATTACTGTGCACCATAAAACACAATAACACAATGAAGAAATAAATAACGTGACTAAAAAAAATCGTAAATACGACAAAGTCCATGTGCAAAAACATCCAACAAAAATGCATTAAAAAAAACAAAAAAAAACAAAACCACAACATGGATAGGTAAATGATTGTTGAATCCCACTCCTGCTAAACTGCCTCCTCACGTCCGCGCCCAGACTCCAAGGGGCCAAAAGGCTTTCAGGACACTCACTGCAGGGGCACTTTAAGTGGAATCCAAATGGCGATGTAGGGATGATATCCCCCTCACTGGTGGACCATACTGTTCAGTGGTGGTAATATATCTTTCACCTTTGGACACGGAAATCCGCCAGCGCACAGAACTCCTGCCAGGGGTTCGTTGGACCAGAAAAAACAGCCAGCTCACAGCACTCCCAGGGAGACAAGAAAAAGTGCTTCCATAGTGTAACATTGTAAATGAATCAAATTTATTGTAAAGACAAATGCACACTTACATGGGAACAGATCAAACAACGCATCAATCACATGTGTTGATATGGATGTACTGGGTTTACCAATATGGCTGCGGCCGTTCGTGTCAGAAATTACATCACCTGCTTTCCGACCTACACATCAACACGGTCACGTGACTTCATCATGTAAGTGTGCATTTGTCTTTACAATAAATTTGATTCATTTATAATATTACACTATGGAAGCACTTTTTCTTGTCTCCCTGGGAGTGCTGTGAGCTGGCTGTTTTTTCTGGTCCATGCAAGCAGAAAGGGACAGGGGGGGGTACTTTAAAAATAATATTCATTTTTTTCCCTTACACTTTTCCTTTAGCATTTTTTTTAATCACTTTTATTCCTATTACAAGGAATGTAAACATCCCTTGTAATAGGTATAAGCCATGAAAGGTCCGCTTTATGAAGAGATCTGGGGGTCTATAAGACCCCACAACTCTCCTCTGTGCTGGAAAGCATGAGATAAAAGAAAAGAAAATTGATCTAATTCAAGCAAAAAAATGGCCATGTTTACATCTGCCAGAACCGGAAGAGACGTCATAATGTTGGGGACATCCCCTCACACTGCCTGTAGACACAATCCAGCGGCTAATCATCCACCAGAATGGCTTTTAAATTGCAGGGAATCGCTGGCTGAAAAAAAAAAAAAATACTGGATGATGGCTGTAGCTGCATGCATCATCCAGATATCTCCACTTAAACCTGAGGACATCATATGATGTCATTTGGACAGCAAGTGGTTAATCACCACTGGGTTTTGTATTTTTTGCTAAATAAAAACGGAAAAAGACAGAAAATTTGGAAAAAAAAAAAATCATGATTTCTTCATTTCTGTTATAAAATTTTGCAAATAAATAATTTTTTCTTCATAAATTTAGGCCAAAATGTATTCTGCCATTTTCTTTGGTGAAAATAACCCAAATCAATGTTTATTATTTAGTCTGTAGGAAAGTCCTCAAACTATAAATAAACTATAACTGTAAATATCTGAAAATTGATCAATCCTGATCAATCCCCATTTCTTGAGATCTGAAATGTCAGGACAGTACAAATGAACCCTTAAATGACCCCTTTTTAGAAAGTAGACAGTCCAAGGTATTTAGTAAGAGGCATGGCGAGTGTTTTGAAGTTGTAATTTTTTATATTTTTTTTGAAAATTAAAACAAGCAATTTTCCCCTTTTCTTTTTTTTTTTACATACTGTCACCAGTGCAGTACAGTGTCATCATATAAAAAAAATAATTATTTTATTTTCTTTGTAATAACATTTTGTTTTACGATTATTTTTTCCAAATTTGTTTAACAAACTGGCCAGAACAATACAATGTTCCAATAGTAACATTGTACTACTCTGGGGAAGTGATCATTATTTTTTTTTGCTTTGCTATAAGCAAGCACGTTACTGAATGAAATCGATTCATTAAGTATTGTGATTAGCTGTGATTGGCTATAGCTAATCATGTGGTACAGATGGGCAGTGATTGGCCCTGTCTGTACCATGTGATCACTTTGACCAATCACAGGTAGCAACACAATTGTACACAATGAATGGCATAAAAGGAAGCTATTAATTGTTTACAATTGATCACAGCGATCACATAGTATCATCAGTGGGCCGGTACAGTGATCTGCCATTGGCTGTGTCCATCGGACACAGCGGATGACAGAAGGCGCGTTCCAGGAGGACGTCATATGACGTCCACCTGGAACGAAGAAAGTCCCCCCTTGCCTATTTCAATTGGCCGGGTGGGAAGTGGTTAAATTGTTGTGATTTCAAATGTGTTATAGAACTTACCAGTGAACAAGAACAGATGACTCAGCCATTGCTAATGCTTCCTTCAAAAAGTGTAGGCACTCAGGCAAGCAACTCAAAATGTCTGCACTGGAATCGTCCAACAAATTAACAAACTTTGTCTGAAATGAAGATAGATCAGGTTGTACACTGTCTACAGTCAATATGTGAGTGATGCCAGTTTTTTGTAAATGTTGTACATCTTCAACATCACTGATGTTACCAAGATATAGTCTTGGCAGGACAAGAATCATGTTTCAGACAAAAGTCAATCCACAGATGGCCCTGAAAGAAATAAAGCAAATATTAGATCAAATATTAAATATTAGAGCATTTTCAGGTTTTCTTTGCTTCTACTTTTGCATTTCCTTGATAAACCATCCACAATCATTTTCATTTGCAGCTTTCTGCTGCCCTTTACTTCACAAACCTCTGCCAACAAAGGTAAAGAGTACATGAATTTGACTTGGTATCAGTCTCTTGCATCACCTATACAGCAGCAGAGGTATAAATTCATCAATCTTCTTCTGCCCAGTCAACAAGCTGGGGATGGAGAAAGGATACCACTGTATTCCTTGAAGTGAAACTGAAGTCTCAAATTTAACCGCTTCCCCCCCGTCGCCCTACAGTAGAACTACTGCTACAGGGCAGCAGGGCTGCGCAAAATCCATATATATATATATATATATATATATATATATATATATATATATATATATATATATATATATGTGATTTGCATGTCCGGGTAGGAAGCGCACACACGCCGCCTTACCTGTGCCGTCCTACCCGTGCCGCCACTGGCAGCTAGGCATGTCAATCACTGGGTCCCAGCCGGAGATTCCCTGCCAGCTCCAGGTGATGGCAGTGCAAAGCTGACAGGGGAGAGACCTGTGTGTAAACAACACAAGTCTCTCTCCTGCCAGCAAGGATATGCTGTTTTTTATTTCTCTGCACAGCAGAGAAATACAGTGTCAGTGCTTTTTATTAGCACTGATCACTGTATTAGTGTCATTGGGGATGTCAGTGGCAGTTAGTCAGTTACCCTCCAGTGTCAGAATGCTAGTCATTGTCCCGCTGTAAGTCGCTGATCGCCGCCATTACTAGTATTTTTTTAGCATAGACGTAGCAGAATACATTTATGATGAAATTTGATTTTTTAAACTTTTTTATTGGGCATTTTTAATAGCAAAATTTCAAAAATACTGGGGGTTTTTTTTTCAAAATTGTCCGTCTTTTTTTTGTTTTATAGCGCAAAAAATACAGAGGTGATCAAATACTATCAAAAGAAAAATCTGTGCGAAAAAAAGGACATACATTTAATTTATGTACAGCACTGCATGACCGCGCAATTGTCAGTTAAAATAACGCAGCACCATATCGCAAAAAATGGCCGGGTCAGGAAGAGGGGGTAAATCCTCTGGAGGGCAAGTGGTTAAAGATTGCAAGCAGGCAGGCTCTTTATTGCAGAAGAGACATGCAATGTCAATTGCAACTGTAAGTGTTGTCATCCACCTAGCTGTGGTGTGTCTCTCTAAATCTCAGGACTGGAAAAAAAGAAGTACAAATCGTTTGAAAGGTAAAACTGTTTCCTTAAAGAACTTTTTTCTGTAGTGTAAAAAATAAGATAGGTCTTATGAGATATATAAATCAATGCATGCCTTCAACATAAGTCGGTATTGTCAACCAATGATTAACTATTTTACTTACCATACCACATAGAGCAATGGTCTGTACGTGGACAAATGATCTGCCACAGATGACATATTCCCCCACATGTACTCTAGTGCATGTGGATATACAACCTTGTGATCACCTTTAGGTTGCACACGCACAATACAATCAGATTGCACAGTAGTGAATGTATCCAGCACCAATGGAATGGGCCACTTAAATTTTACAGCAATTGGACAGTCAGATCGTACAATGTATGGCTCTATTTGGATATATTTTTGTTATTTCTAGATTTTAATCAGAATGTATCATTTTATAATAAGTATCATCATTCTTAGCAGTATTCACACCATTATCAGTTTCACTACCATTTGTACCATTTTACGATTGTACAATCAGATTGTATAACATATGGTTCAATTTATACATTTATCATTTCACTCATGTTTTCATACATCTACTCCTTTTAGATCAATTTATTACCAAGAATGAATATAGTGATAATGACTATGTCAGTAGTACTATTACTATTATTATCTTTAGTATTTTTAATATTATTTTTATTATATTACCCTTCTTTTATCATTAAAGGCACATTTGACTTTATTATTTTTATAATAAAACATATAAAAAAAGAGAACAGTGGGTACAGACATATGGGACCAGAGCACTGGTCTTAAGCATGAAGACAATCCAAGGAGACAAGTACAATCTGTACACTTCAACAGTAGAATTAGAGGAATATCAGTAAACATAAAAATTACAGCGACATATGACCCAGGGACGCACCCTAACGTAAGGCACAAGGAGCATTAGTATTTGTCTCTGGAAAGTTCACTGTAGAAAATGAAGCAAGAAAAGACAAAGAAAGAAAAGAAACAAGCAAAAGAATGTGAGAAAAGGTAGAGGGGGAGCTGGGAACCGGAAAAGGACAAGGGGCAGGCCCCCAATGGCTGCCTCCTGGAAAAACCTCAGGGGGGGGGGACATAACAAATCATGTCTGAAGTAAGGAAGCCGGTGCTTAGGTAGATGACGTTGAGTCCACTAGTCCAAATGAATGAAGTCTAGGGAGGCACAGTAGGACCACAGAATTCCAGAAGGGTCGTGGAGGAATAGAAATGGAGCCAGACCGACCACAACAACTTATGTTTGTCATAAGTGTCATTGGCAAACACCAACATTTCTTCCATGTGCATAATATCATTAATAGTAGACACCCACAAAGATGGAAGAAGGGGTGGACGTTTTCCAGAAAAGGGGTATCAAAGACACAAATAGGAAGACACAAAGTAGGCATTTCTTCTGTGCGGCAAAGGAGCCCGGTAATATAGATAAAAGAGCCTCACTACAGTGCCAACAAAGGTCAGATGTAGCAGGAAATACCCTATGCAGGGAAAAGGGATCCCTATACAATTGTGAGAGAAGCTTAAAATTATTTTCCTGTGAGTAGCAGGATATAGAAGATTTATGGGTGAAATAGAATGATGTAAGTCATTCCTCATCAGATATGTCCCTACCCAAATCCCAGGACCATGCCCTGGTATAGGGCAGAAGTTCAGAGTGAATCGCGGAATGTAATAATCTGCAGAGGGAAGGTAAAAGATGTCAGGGAGGTTCAAAAAGGGAACATAACCATACAAACTCAGAGGGCGGGCGATCGATGTGAGTGAAGGAGTGCAAGTGTTTACAAAATGAAGATAAGTGCAAAGCGGTCAACCAATCCCTGGAACCACCCGGGAGAAGTGGGAGGCCAGTCTGAGGGTGGATAAAGTCACGAGCTACCAGCCAGGAGGTGTGGGAGAAGGGACCAAGAACAGAAGATCCCGTCCCTCGTGGAAAGGAAGGATTGTCATATAGAGATGACAGAGGGGAAGGAACGGAAGACAGAAGGGCATTAAGTCCACATCTATAACATAAACGCATAACCGCCACAGTTAAAGGCAACAAGCCGAGGAAACGCTGTAGGTCACGGCCGTAACCCCAGGGGAGAGCTCGTAAATCGACCTGAGATAGGTCTTGTTCCTTAATAGAAGAAACCTTACAAAAAGGTCTAGGTAACTAATCAAGCATACGTGCCAACAAGGCAGCTCTGTAATACAGCTCAAAATCAGGCAAGCTTACTCCACCCAAGAGCTTCGGATAAGCAAGCAACTTGTACTTCAATCTCGAAAAGCCACGATGCCAAATGAACCTGATCGATAAAGAACGTAAGGAGAGGAAGAAACAACCGGGCACCGAAACTGGGATAGTCCGGAAAACATAGAGCAAAGGTAAATTGTCCATCTTAAGGGTGTTAATGCGTCTAAACCAGGGCAAAGAGGAAGCTCCCCATGAATCCAAGACTTTACACAGATGAGAAAGTAGGGGCAGATAATTGAGTAGAGTTCAGTAAGATTGGAAAATATCAAAACCCGGAGGTAGGAAATAGTCTTCGGACACATTGAAAAGAAAAATTGGAGCGAAGATGCGGCAACACGCTGTCGGGCAGAATAATATTCATTCAGCGCCTCCGTTTTAGAGAAATTCAGTTTAAAGTTACTGTACAAACCAAACCTATGAAACTCATGAAGTAGACTAGGGAGTGAGATGAGTGGCTGTTGCATTTAAACCAGAAGGTCATATAGAGAAAGTTTGTGATAAGAAGGGGTACGGATACCCACAATAGAACCGTTAGCCCGTATAGCCCGCGCAAGGTGTTCCTTTTTTATTATTATTTACTGTTTGAACTTTTTGTGTTTTTTTTTTTTTTTTTTAAACGTCTTACAATTGTACATTTAGATTGTATAATGTATGGTTCAATTTATACACTTACACATTTTGAGTTTTTTATTCTCTTTTATATTAGGCCAACATATCAACCATAATATGCCATTTTAATAATAATGATGATGATGATTTTTTTGTGTGTGCATATGCACCCATATTCTTGTTTTTGTTCAGCACCCATGTTCTCATTTTTATGTCATTTTTTTTTTCTGTAATACGTTCATTATGACTGACTGTTTGTTTTTAATTATGACCCCCTTTGAGGGGACATTGTATTGATGTCAGATTGAGATGAAAATGTTCTTATGTTCTTTCTAGCCCTGATGAAAGGGGCACTTGGACCCCCGAAACATGTTGGCTACTTCTCAAATTATACCCCTGACTTTTAATGGAATAAACTTGTATCTGGACCTCTTAACAGTGGTGTGGTGCTTCAATTTTAACTATTGCAGAAGAGACATGCAATGTCAGTTGCAACTGACTGTAAATGTTGTCATCCATCTAGCTATGGTGGGTGATAAGTCTCTCTAAATCTCAGGATAGGAAGAAAAGAAGTACAAATCGTTTGGAAGGAAAAACTGCTCCCTTAAAGAAGAACTCTAGGCATTTTTGTTATCTGTAGTGTAAAGTATAAGCAAGGTCTTAGAAGACATATAGCTCTTTAGGTATCATTGTCATTACCTTAATTATACTTTTAGGATGGATAGTAAAGCTCTTGCTATACTTCCAGCCCACTGCAGCTATGAGAGAAGCCACACTGTGTTGCTTTTCTACACCTTTTCCATTCACATGTTTTGTATTCTGTGAATGGACA